CAGTGGGTGGTTCTTAATGTATTCAAGATTATTTCAGCAAAGTTCCAGCTCGAATGAAAGAGTTTTAATTTTGGAGCGATTTTCGTCCAAGTGGCAGATATTCGACAAATGCCCGGACTATCCACCACATGCTGTTTTTGTGATGCCCAAAAATAATAATCCATACAATACAATAAACTTTATTAGGTTCTCAATATGGGATCTTCATAACTAATTTAAATTAAAAATAATTACAAAAATACATGAATAGAGAAAAATATATAAATATAATAAGATATATAGTTTTATGATAATCCATAGTTTTATGGTAAGTACGAGATGTAAAAAAAAAACAACTTCAGATAGATCATTATGCTAAGGGTTTTTGTGTGGCGCATGCATGATAGCGCAAACATTAGCTCCGTGATTCGCGATTATATTTCTAAATAAACCGCGTGATGCGTCATCGCATATCGTAAAGTTTCGTAATGCGTGATGCGTGATAGGGCAAAACAACTTTCCGTGACGCGTGGTTTTTATAAAAAATTCAGCGTGAAGTATGATGCCGCCCCCCATCTTTGCCGCGCTGATTACTAAAAGCCTTGTATTTCTTAGGTATTGCAAATAACAAGACACCAGTCGTCTTTTCTGCCTCATCTTCAAAGTCCTTCTACTACAAACCCTCCCTTGGACGTCTAAACAACAGGCATATCGTTGGTAAGGGCAGTGGAAGTTGGTGTAGCCATCTAACAAACGACTCTGATCCTTATTTACAAGTAGATTTGGGATCTGTATATAGAGTGACCAAGATAGCGACCCAGGGGAATCCTGTGTTGAATGACTGGGTTAAACACTATCGAGTTCTGTACAGTACTAATGGAATAAACTGGTTAAAGATCAAGTCAAATGGCAAAGAAATGGTAAGTCCGATACGATGATCCTACAGTCACATGTTGACTACATGTGCTACCAGCTTTGGCCATATCTCGAACATAAGGCGAGAGGTTGCTAGGTCTCTCCTTTGATTCAAGGGTTTTTCTCCGTGTTCTCCGGTATTCCTCCCTTCACAAAACCTAACACGATAAATTCGGAATCCATCTGTGATTTAGCCGTGACCTGACTTGGGTCGGCCCAGAGGTTGTTTCAGGGTTTAATCTGTGAGTTAGCCATGCCTTAGATCAGCCCATAAGTTATTTCAGGGTTTGATGTGTGACTTAGCCGTGCCCTCACTTTGATCAGCCCCCCGGGGGGGAGGATACCACCCCAACTTGGGTAGGAGTGTGCCGCCAGGACCTCAAAACCCTAACCCTATCCCAGACTAAAAGACGGAAAAGACGGTTTTACAATCGATTGCAATCAATATTTACTAACATATTTATTGTTTTTGGTCGGCAGAAAGCGTAGCCTATTCGCTAGACAACAACGACCAAATCGTTAACCCTATCCCAGACTAAAATGATACTCTATCCCAGACAAATTGTCAAAAAATGATACCCTACCCCAGACCCAAAAGCCGAAAAACCATACCYTATAGGGCGGCACATACCCGTATAGCAAATATAGGGGAGTACCCCCCGGGGATCAGCCTAGAGGTTGTTTCAGGATTAATTTGATCCATGAGTTAGCCGTGTCCTGACTGATCAGTCCATAGTTTATTATCCTAGGGTATCGATAAAATTTGGAGGTTTGAAGGCTGCATACTGTGGACTTGCGTGACTTCAAATCTCATGACTTTACTAACCGAGTTGAATATGTCATTTCTAAGATATTTGATGGCAATAGTGATCGTCAGACCGCGGTGACTAACAAATTTCCAGAACCAATCAACGCCCAGTACGTCAGGATTAATGCCCTTCGGTGGAACCGTCTTGCTTGTTTGCGTATTGAACTTTATGGTTGTAACACAACAGCACCTTCACCAACTACCTTGGTACCAACTACGAGATACTGTCCAGAGTTCAGGTACGATAAAAAAACACGCATTCTGCTTGAGTTTATTAGGCTCAGGTAAAATGTCCAACTTCAAATGAAGCCAATTGAAACGATGGATAACAAGGTGGTCTTCTTTGATGTTATTAGGTTCGGCTCATTTAAAGTTCTTAGTCATTTGTGCTACTGTATTATTATCATTATTTATTTTTACGATCGCGACGTTTTTTTCGCGCGCTTCTTCTCCTTTTTAGACTTCAGTCTCGAAGAAAAGTGATTAAGATGGATAATGTCCGAGGTACAAACCGACAGCACGAATCATTTCAAATATCTGCGCTTAAAAAGAGAATAAACCTCACTAGGACTGGACCTTTTAATTTGCTAGAAGTTTGGCTTGGAAATTAGATCAGGATCTCCCTTAAAGAACCCATCTTTCTTTTGGAAATTGAAACTGTTTCCCTCCAGTAGATAAGTGAATTGTGCTTCTTGTCCCTTCAGATGTGACAATGGTAAATGTATCCCGTACCGCTGGGTCTGTGACAACGATAATGACTGTGGGGAGTGGTCTGATGAGCGCTGTAACATCACCTGCAACTCTAAACAGTTCCAGTGTGGCAATGGCAAGTGTATTGATCGTACGTTTGTCTGTGATGGTGATGATGACTGTGGTGACAGATCCGATGAGATTTCGTGTCATAACGTTACGTGCGCAGAATTCACTTGTGGGAATGGATTGTGCATACCTTATAAGTAAGTATCTGTCTTCCTTACTGCATACTGTCACAATGTTACGTGCGCAGAATTCACTTGTGGAAATAGATTGTGCATACCTTATAAGTGAGTATCACTCTTTGTTACTCGCTGGATGTTAACAGTGAAAATTGGCTGTTATTTGGCAAGTTTACAATGCTTTCCATGATATTTGCTTACCATTGTTTTCATTGCTACGCACTGATCGAGACAACAGTCGCGACGTGTTGATTAATCGGGCAACACACTCCCGTCAATCAAATAAACCGTTCTCGTACTTCAGGTATCTTTAGACCACTATGCAAAATTTTACTAGAAATTACCTTGATGTATAGTCAACGTACTATGGGATTTGCACTCAATAATACGAATAAAGCTGATACAATTATCTGATACCCTCCCTTTCGCTCACTAAGGTTTGGCAGAGAAGGGTCTGGGTAAATCAAGACTAATATATATTTGGTAATCTACTAATGTAGGTTTCTCTGTGATGGAGTATCAGACTGCAGCGAAGGTGAAGATGAAAATCAAAACTGTCCAACCCACGTGACCACACCGAGCAACTCGTGCCCAGGGTTTACGTGCAAGGACAGTTCTTGCATTCCACAGGGTTACCGTTGTGATTTTTACGAGGACTGTCCCTGGGGAGAGGACGAGGAAGGATGTCCTTGCAAGAACGACACAGAATGGCGGTGTGAAAAGAGCGGGAAATGCATAAGGAAGGAGCACGTTTGTGACGTGTTTGTTGATTGTCCTGATGGTGAAGATGAAGAAGGATGTCCAACCACTGAAAACATGGTTACCAATACTGCTAGCACAACAGCAGCAGCAAAGATCCCTAAAACTACTGAAACGACGACAACAACTAAACTACCAACAAATTACTCACAGACAACAACCAAGATTCCACAACCAAAGACCACTGAAATAACAACAACTAAAATAAAAACGACTGAGCCCACAACTAAGCTTCCAAAACCACACACTACTAAAAAAACGATAAAAACCACAGAAATACCAACCACTGTCACAAAGACAACAACAAAGATTCCACAACCAGAAACCGCTGAAACACAAACGACAACGATAACTGAAATACCAACAACTGAAGGGCCCACAACTGTCAAACAGTCAACAACAAAGATTCCACAAGCACAAACTACTGAAACAACACAAACGACAACGATAACTGAAACACCAACAACTGAAGGGCCCACAACTGTCAAACAGTCAACAACAAAGATTCCACAACCACTAACTATTAAAAAAACAACGAAGGCAACTAAAATACCAACAATATTTACACAGACAACAACGAATACCCCAAGCCAACAAACTACAACAACTGAAACGCCAACAACTGTCACACAAACAACCACTACTAGCTCCACAGAACAAATAACAAGTGCTAAGCCGACGACTTCAAAACCTGTTACCACAGTGAAATGGCCGATGTTGCCCACAGCTCACACCACCAGTACAACTGTCCCTAAATGTAAGTAAGCAATGACAAAACGATGTAAGGTTTTTTATTGTGGCACCCGGAAAATCTTGCTTCGGCCAAACCTTTGATGAAAAAAAATCATACAAGATCTTTTATCAGGTTTGATACAAAAGAGGCCTGTTTCATAAAGCCGTTGTCATCGCCAAAGAACATTCCGACATGGAAATGGTTTCGTTGATTACAAAGAACATTGAATCAGTCTCAACACTAAGGTCCATGTTCTTGACGAGAATAAGAAGCAGAAACACAAGTCATTCCAGCTATTCTTGGATCAGTTGGAATGACCTATCTCCTATCACTTTTCGCCTATCGCCTATTTTGCCTTTAGCCTTTGGCGATGACAACGTATTTTGAAATAGGTGTATCGGTGTATGTATAGTCAGATTTGAGTCACTTGGAGTCGTCATGAACCAATAAACCCCTTGCATTGATTTTGCTATAGGAATCGTTCAGGGGGACAGGACAATAGGCCGTTTTTTCTTATGCAAAAAGCATCCATTGTTTTGACCCCCAGAACAATTCCTCTCGGGCATCAGTGCAAGGGGTCTATAGCGCGACCGAATCCATTTTTTAATAATGATACGCCTGGGGATTGAGGAATATTTTTGTTGGTACTTATTAATTGCTCCAATGGTGTCATTTCTACTTCAGATTGTCCTCCTGATTGTTTCTGCCTCGTGTTGTGTGATAGGAAGGTTGAATGTCAGAAGTCAACCTGTCCTATAGAAGGATGCATTTGTACAAGCGAAAGATACAACAATGGAAGTCACTGTATACTACCCATGCCTGATCCATGCTTACCTCAATGTATTCATAACGGGGCTTCCTACAGGGTACGTAACTGTGTAGCGTAGTATCCACTGTATACTACCCATGCCTGATCCATGCTTACCTCAATGTATTCATAACGGGGCTTCCTACAGGGTACGTAACTGTGTAGTGTAGTATCCACTGTATACTACACATGCCTGAGCCATGCTTACCTCAGTGTATTCATAATGGGACTTCCTACAGGGTACGTAACTGTTTGGTGTAGTATCCACTGTATACTACCCATGCCTGACCCATGCTTACCTCAGTGTATTCATAACGGGGCTTCCTACAGGGTACGTAACTGTGTGCGGGTATGGTAATCGCTTGTCCATGATTGCTACCATGTACATAACTAATAATATACTCCCATCAATGGTTCCGCCTTAGGTCAACACGAAGATCATCGGGTTCAGTGAAGATCGCTGCCAGGAATGTCGTTGTAAACGGACTCCCAGGACAATTGGAGATGTTTCAGTGCAGTGTTATAAAGTGTGTGACGTCACTTGTCCTGAGGTTAGCCTTTTCTTTATTTTAATAAATAGTGTCTAAATCTGAGTCTATGAGTCGAACCCAGGGTTGGTATCATTTCATTATTTTAAGTCATTGTTTTCTGTAAGTAACAATGAGCACTATATATGCTGTACAGATATTTCAAGAAAAGGTTGGTGAAGGTAATTTTGTATTTTGCTTATCAAGCTTGAAATGTGTTGAATCATATGTAAATAATAGAAGGAAATATAACAGGAAAACGTGCAGACAAAGTTTGGGAAAATTTCATATCCTTTCGCTGATTGCACTGACATATCGCCGATAGCGGTACATTTTAGGCTTGGTATTCAACATGCAACCATAGTCTATGAACTATGATGTAACTAAACCTTCCAATTTTACACAAATGTAAATAGAAGAAAGAGGCTCGCCTTCTCAGAGAGTAGTGAAAGTGAAAATCTACACTCTTCTATGCGTTGTTTATTCCATTCTCTTGTAATTAGAGTTACATCTGATGATTTTCCTTTGCCAATAGTTGTTGATGTAGGTGTTGACTGTATGTTTAGGGTTATCGCGCGGTACCTATATATCACCCCCATAGATGCTGCAAGTGTTTCCCCATAAGACCAGGTAAGAAATCTATCTTCTTTTTAGGCTTGCACACAAATAATGGCTGTAAAAGTATTTGACTGGATGGCACTGAAATGGTTTGATTGACATAACTTTAATGGATTGCGGGAGGGGGCGGTGCATTTCAATGACATGAGGTTACACGTCAAAATCATGATTCTTACCAAGAATGTTGAGTTTTTTAAAGGCTTCGGGGCTTGTTTTGACAAAGTAACCGACAGAAGCTTTTTAATTGTTAGACCATCATTTCTTGATCACATTTTCTGCGGCATACTATTTAATTTAATGTTTCCTTGCTTTGTGAGACTCTGCGGCCTTTCTTTCCCAATAACATTCTTTGGATTTTGATTCCTAAATCACTATGAGCACCCTTTTATTATCGATCGAGACTCGTGTACGCCACTTAACTGTTTCATAGAATAGAATAAATATGTTGATGCTTAAGTTCATTGACCTTTCTCACTTGTTTGTAGTAACCACACCAATAATAACATCAAAAACCACACCCACTACGATCATCAGTACCACAGAAAAAACAGAACAGCCAACCAGACCTGTGACAGTACCTGGCGTGACTACAAGCGTTACAACAACTACACGTTCCAGTACACGGAATAACGTTACAGAACAAGCTGTTCCAACTACTCAAGGTCTTCAGAAGAACGTCACGAAACCTAACTTGACAGAGAGAGTCACGACAGGTTCCACTTCAGTTAGTGGTACCCAACAGCCTGTCACGCAATCTAACGTGACTACTGCTTCGTCAATCGCCACAGCACCAACAAGACATCCTGATGGTGTTACGAGTGGTAAACTCGATTATTGTTTTTAAATGGGAAGGAAGGGTGGATGGATGAAAGGAAGGAAGCTGGGAAAAAAGGAATAAATCAATGGGCGGACAGATGGATAGAGGGAGGGAGGGATAGACGGACGGATTAGTGGGTGTGTAGGTGCATGAATGAATGGTGCAGGTTGAATGAGTGATATTGTGAGTTAGGAGTGGTGGATGGATAATGGCTAGTTGGAATATAGGTAGATATAAGGATGGATGGATGGATGGATGGATGGAAGAATAGATAGATTAGTAATTAAGTGCGAAGAGATTGAGTAATTGATGAGGGAGTCAGTGATCGAGTGAATAACTTATTATTTTGTACAGAAAGGTCGGTTAACGAATAAGTTCTCACGGGTTAATGTCTCATATTTAACAATGCCAGCACCTCCCTGCATGTGGAGCAACTGTTCTTGTACACCCACGTGTGATGACATTGCTACAAGAAAACATACCAACAGTACCCCCTGTGGGGCACGGAATTGTCGACCTGGTTGCCAGTGTCCGGTGGGTTATGCATCATTTAACAACAGTTGTGTCGTCCCAGCCCAAGAGTGTCCTTGCTTTCATGATGGGCGCTTTTATAAGGTAAGGTATGGAATTTAACGATGTGTAACACAGGGGGAAGTGGCACTTCTTGGTAACTTTAGCGTAGAAGTAAAATCAATAAACTGCAATGGCAACAATTGCTGAATTTTAATAACCTGATAAAAGTGTGTTGTCAGTCAGAAAGAATTCTATTGAAAACTTGTGATTCAGCTGATGAACATTCCGCATGAGAAAGGAAATGACGTCCAGTGAAACCAAGTATCATGAGTGGAGCAGTGGTCGTGTAAGGATTTTGATACACACGATATATTTACAGGCAAAACGCCTGCTCTAGAATGAAAGCACAGCTGATGTCCCTGAGTCGAATATTTTTAATAGACTATTTCGACGAAGCGGCAGACCTCTTGAATAGGAAGGCCTTATGGGACATCCAGAAGGAGAAGACTCCACGATATTTGAGAGATTTCCTCAGTTGTGGAACTGTGAATTTTTCAAATTCATCTCTTGTCAAATTGTCTTGTTATAAACCGTAAATGTAAAACGACGCCATTTATGTAACAACGCTTTGTCTATTTGCCCCCTGGATGACCCACACTGTCTTGTGATTCAAGATGGCCGCCGCATCGTCAATGTAGCCCATTGCATCGATCTTTTTTCTTTCTTTCTTTCAGGCTGGTGATTCGTTCAATAATGGTACTTGTTCGACGTGTTTGTGCATACAGGACAGCCTGCAGTGTGTGGAGAGCTGTAACATCCACAGTTGCCCACAGGTAGAGGAACAACTGCATCAGTTCCAAATCATTACCTTCATTAGCTCTCGTTTATCCAAAGGCAACAGAATGTAAAGTTATCTGCACTAAATAGACCGATTTCTTCTTGGTGCAATGTTTTCCTACCCTGCGAACCGGCTCTCTGAGGGGGGGGGGGGGGGGGGGCGTTGCCTTAATAGACCACGTGTCATTGAGTCGTATCCAATTCATGTCTTGCGCAACAGTTAAACAAAAAGAATATACTCTAGGGAATATCATGTGCTCTGAAATGGAAAAACATAGCCTGCGAACCGGCTCTCTGGGGAGAAGGGAGTAGGGGGAGAGGAGAGGGAGAGCCACGAGTGAATGAGTTAATGTTTTCTTTTCTTGTTCTAAAGGGTAGTGAACTCATAGATACACCAGGAAAGTGTTGCTATTGCCAGAAGATAAAAAGTAAGTAACAAAGCGTAACTAGGTTTGTGTCGTAAATGGAGCATACGAAAACAATGGAAAGCCATTTCGCTGTTGTCGCAAGTCGTAACTTGTACGTGCTGTAAGTCAGCCAAGTCATTGCTATGGCATGTTGTACCGTGTACGTAAAACCGCTAGAACTATCTAGATTACAGAGCTATTAAAACGAGCTATTCTAAATGATTTCTATGCCATTTCTTCCAGTTTGTCCAGTGAATATGGTGTACTCCAAGTGCTCGTGTAATGTCACGTGTTCTAGTCCCAGCATGCATTGTGACCTAAGCAAATGCATTCCCGGATGTCAGTGTCGCGTTGGTACTTATGATAACGGCTCGGCTTGTGTGCCATTGAAGCAATGTTACTGTATTCGTGATAATGTAATAAGAAAGGTTAGTTATTGGTTATTTTATTACAAGTTATTCCATTATGATTTAGAAATAGATATGTACCCAAGTCACAAGGACTGACTCAATGGATTGTAAGCGCGGTAAACGAAAAGAGTCTATAGACATTGTGATTGCAGAAGACATTTGACATCAAATCACTTGAAAGCCCTAGCTTGTTCCTTCCTGGCATAACCAGATCCCGCATACAGGGAACGTTCCCAGGGAGTCATTTTGCTCTAACACGAAGTGAAAGACCTGGTATAATACCAAAAGTGAAGGAAGACTGTCAGTGTTTGAGGTTAGACTTGAAGTAGTTAGTAGTAAGAGGGATCCAAGTTTATTGCTTATCACGATGAAAAGATTAGGAAGATTACTAGGATTTCTAAGAGGTGGGGTGCAGCTATAACCCTAATTTTCTATCTAGAGATAGTTACATAAACGTACATCGTTTTACATATTTTAGAGCAACGAAACATGGCGTGAACAAAACTGTACTCTCTGTAAATGTCTGAGGGGTTCGGTGAAATGTGGACACGTCTGTGATATAACGGCATGTACAGAGGCAAGTAAAAAAAATGACCAGATACGTGATAACATAACACCTGTAATACACATACAACCCTAATTCATGAACAAAACTGTGTTCTTTGTAAATGTCTGAGGGGTTCGGTGAAATGTGAAATGTGGCATCCGGCAGGGGTGGTTCCATGAATTCCATTGAGGCTCCCCTTTGGTGACATCTTGTAGAATGAAATTGGGACCGCCCCTTAGTGAAGCTGACCGCGCCAGCTTTTTCTGCGTGGCGGCCATTTTGAAACCCAATTTCTGGATCCGCCACTGCAGAGGCAAGTAAAACAAACTGACCATTAACATGATAACATAACACAGGTATAGACATACAACCCCTAATACACCACCTTTCATACATCGGTCCACTGGTCACACACACAGTAGTTTCAAAGGATTATTCACCTCGGTTGAATGCTTTGTGTTTGCCAAATGAACCAATGGAAAATAGTGCAGTATCCCTCGAAACCTACAGCACTTAAAGAAGATAATCCACTTATATTTTCAGGGACAAGAGATAGTTTTGCCTTCAAACAGTTGCTGTTTTTGCCAGTTGAAAGGTACGTTCAATGTGCCACAGGTAGCCTATAGTCTTGTAAGTATTCTGAATGTATTGATGTTCTGAATGTAGAGAGAGCGTGGAACGAAACTATCAAAAACTTTTATCAGTCTTGAAAGTGTTCTGATGTATTGGTGTAATGTGAAGCGAGTATAGATAGCGAACTGCTACTCTTCCCGGTAGACCGAGGTAGTTGGAATTTTWTAATCGCCTTCGTAGCGTCTGTTATGTTAACCGAGATAGTACATTTCAAATCGACCACGTGGTGCCAATGTTAAACCACGTGGACAATTTTTTACACCACGATTAAAACTTGACTGAATTTTGATCATGTGGTGTAAAAAGTTGTCCACGTGGTACAACATTGGCATATCTCTTGTAATAGAGGTTTTGCATCATCACGTGACGGCAGCCATGTTAGATGGCAGGAACAATACAGTCGTTTTACATAAGAAAGAATTCAATTCCCAAGAGCAAAGGGATTTTACTGTTCTGCCATCTAACCACAGGCAGCCCAAGCTGTAATATGGGGGTGGACACGTGATGGTGCAAAACCTCTATCTAGTGTATTTTGATATGCAATTTTATCAACTAAATTGAATTTGCTTATAGCAACAACACCAACGACCCCAACCAGCCATGTGACGACTTCTAGAAACCATACCGAGCCTCTACCTACAACTATATCCAACGAAACAACACAAGAAAATGCAACTACTACACCTGCACCTCCTTTAACGACGTTAACACCAACCAAATATAACAATACTAGAGAAAATATCACAACTGTGGTACCAACCATGTCCAGTGAAAGTATTACTACGACTGGGCCGATCAGCAGTACAACAATGGCAGAAAACGTAACAACATCGCCTATAGTACCATCATCTGCTCCAGCACCTACTTCCACGGGCACAGAAAATATCACGACAACTTCACCAAACATAACACCAGAAAACACGACTACATCATCACCCCAACCTACAACAACCCATCCAAGAACAACAGCATCATCTACAACTACTAGTTATCTTCCACCAAGTGCTCGACCAACTGAAGGCGTCATTCAACCATGTAAGCTGCACTCGACCCTTATGAACTACACAGACAGCAAAGGTTGTAAGAGCCAACAACAGTCACAAGAAACAGCCTGTCAGGGAGGATGTTGGTCAAGTTTTATCGCAAATATAACCTTCCCTCGTCTAACACATTCATGTCGATGCTGTAAACCCGTCGAGTTTGATACTAAGAACACGACTTTGAAATGTCCTGGTGGTGATGTCAAGGTTCATCAATACCTTGTGATTACATCATGTGAGTGTCAGGACTGTGAGCAGAGAGAATATCTAGACAAGCTGGTTCAGACGGCGATGAGGATAACCAAAAACAACACGACAGATTTTCACTCACATGGTAACTAACGTAATATTATATCTGTATGGAAAATGAACATGGAAAAGCTTCATTCAATAGACTAGTCATGGTAACTGAGATACGACGAACGGCGAATAGCTCAGAAATGACATTTACTTGGTAACTTGTGTACAGATCTAGAGACAAATATTTATGCTGTATTGTCAATACCAATTCTGTTTAGAAAAATACTCTTTCTTTAATGCTACATAAAAGGTAATTACGATTTAACCATAGATTCTACTTTCTTTCTCTAAGTATATATTCAAATGGAACAAAGAAGACCAGGTTAAGCAAAGCGAAAAGGAAAACGGGTTGCTATCAATAGATTGAGAATGGAGGGGAGGCAGGTGTTTTCCCTTCACGTAAGGCTGATTATGAGATTCAGTAATTCATCTGATTGTTACCAAGCAATTCGATCATGAAAAAAGTTCAAAAATCCTATAAAAGTGTTGTAGATTCGTTTAACGCTACACAGTTTCTACCCTGCGAACATAGGGTTACTTATCTGCTCCTTCATAGAGCTGAGTGCCAACAGAAAGGGACAGAAGAAAACCTCTGCAAGCACGGTACAAAGTTACAAACAATTGCTGTGGTAACGAGTACAAAAGCCAATGCTCACTGTGATTCTGCACCTGTTAAAACTATTCTATTTCTAAGTTATATAAAAATGTTCCAATAGAAAACGATAAAACTATATATCTATAGTGATTTACAGCCTTTATGACGCTATTTACATTATCAATATTGTTTATAATTTATATTATCTAATATTACCTGACGTCTGCAGTCAGTTTAAGACGGCACGTATAATTATTGTAGGAGGCATCTCCTGGACAAAACTGTAGAATATAGAGAGGCACCATCACGTGATGGCAGCCATGACAGGAGGCACAACAATAGAGTATTTCCCCCCCTGGAAAACTGAATTCTTTCTTATGTAAATCAGATTAGATCAGATTCAATTGTTCCTGCTTCCTGTCATGGCTGCCGTCACGTGATGGTGCAAAGCCTATGAACATGCATATCACAGGATTGCTTACATTCTATGAGTTCTATGACACTAGCATGTAATACCTTAAGAACATGCTGTCCGCGTCTGCATCTTATGTTACTCACGTTCTTCGCTCATGTCTCCATAACATAGCTTGTATCCAATACTTGGAGCTCACTTTGTTCACAGCCAGTGTTTCTTAAATGAACTCACAGATATCTATCCCTCTGGGTCATGGGTTGCAGTTCGTCGCTCATGTCTCCATATCGTAGCTTGTATCCAGTACCAGAGTTCACCATGTCACGACATGTTTCTCACATGAACTCACATATGTGTCCACATCCTGCAGGGCACCAAATATTATTGGAGAACCATTCTTGTATGTGTGTTAAATGACCACCATGACCACATCCCTGACACCACACATATGATCCTCGAACAGACAGGTGACTGGAAACACAAACACATTTGAATCGTACTTTAACTGAATCAATTGCCGAGTTAAAACAAAACGATTTGGATCTAGAAGTGTAGTTTCTGAGTTGCGTTCCTAAAAATGACATAAGATAGCTTACTTTTCAAACTCATTAATAATTTATGAGGTCAATGACCAATGGCGACTACCTAACACCCTGGGCCAAGATATAAGTTGACGAGTGGATAGTGCTATCCGACGAAATTATCCATTGGATAAGGATCTAGCCGTCGGATAGCGCTAATTACTCTTCTTACAACTAGGCCCTCGTAGAACAAGGTGAACGACAAGACAGAGATTGATTAACCAGCCATCAGCAGGTTTCTCTATTTATTCCCCTCTCTCAAAGCTGTTACACAGGTTATGAGGGGTCATCACCAATACAACTTGGGAAGCACGGGTGGTGCGCGTTACTTACGTGCCGCCTCTCACCAATGCAACCCGGCTTCGAATCTCGGGCTGTGTGTCATATGTGAGTAGAGTTGTTTGTTGGTTATCTTCTGTGCTTCGAGGGTTTATTCCACTGACTTTCTAATTCAATCTTGGTGAGCTTCTCCTAGTTAGAGCCTAGCACTGTTGTGATTGTCCCATGATGTCATACAACAGCTTAACCTTAATAGTTTAGATTTTTTATACTTACCATAGCGAGCAAGGCTCTATAAGACTCATACATCGTTTACAAAACCATCCTGATTTAGACAGAGGTTTGTTACATCGGCCACAAGATGCGTACACAGTTGTAGATTGCTGGGGGAAAAGAAATAGCATTAGAACGAACACCAATGAACATCAGTGGATTGATTTTGTTACTTGGTTTCAATTTACATCATTTCCTGTACCATGTGGAATGTTCATCAACTGAATCACGATTTTTTTCAATAGAATTCTTTCTGGCTGAACACATGGTGGTAAGTGTTTGACCACCATTTGGAGCAGATAATGAGATCTAAAGACTTTATATCAGCTGATGGACCCTTGAATAAGAGGCTAACATGGAAATATAAAAGAAATATCACAAATGCCATCGAGTAAATGTGATTTCTTTTGTGTTTTCATGTTAACCTCTCATCCACGATAATTTTGAGAAGGGTCCATTGTAACAAGATGGAAGTCTCTTTTCTACGAGACGCTATTGTTTATGGATTACCAGGTTTTGCGTGTTGACGATAGGTAAACTTGATAACTTGGTGATTTCGTTTGCTACGGACCACATTTCCAGTCTACGAAGAAGATCTAAAAAAATATGTGAAATTAGTCAGTCTGTCAGTCATTGAATAGATGAATAGATGGTTGGATGAATTAGCAAGTGAATGAGTCAGTGGACGGAAGATTGGATGAACGACTTTATGAGTAAATGAAAAAATGAGAATGTGAATGAATGAAAATAAACAAATGAAAATACATAAGATAATAAATTTGCGCATTCAATACATCAACTAGCTTTAGATACATCAACTAGCTTTATCATACCAATGTAAGACATGAGCCACAGTTCTTGTGTCTGTTCGTCGATCTTATGTCGTATTCTGTCACCAAGTACAATTAATAATGATGCAGACATCTGCACGTCACCCTAAAACAAATGATCGTATCCATATCCGACACAGGAAGCCCAAGCTATAGTTACGAAATCCTATACAACTATTTTATAAAGGCTGGTGAAAGCCCATTTACATGTTGCATAACAAGCCCGAACTGAACCATGAGCGATGTGAATATAATCAGAGAAAGGCCACAACAATATGAAATTTTTCTAAACTTTGTCTACACGTTTTTCCGGTATATTTTCTGCTTTGCTGATATTGTAAAACATTGTCAGTGTTAGCCGAATTGGTCTATTTATCCTCCATATATACGATTTCGTAACTATAGCTCGAATAAACTATGTTTAGAAATGACACGTCTTTGCTGAGAAAAATTGTTTTACCTCTTCTGCGAAATGTTGGAGAACATCGACGATCAAAGACGTAAAATCCCACTTCGGAAGAAACTGAACGAAAGAACGCCATTAGAGAGGACGGAGTTACATGATGCATACTTTGGTTGATTGGCTAGAGAAGTACGAGATAAATAAAAAGAGGAGAAGAAAGGAAGGAAGGAAGGAAGGAAGGAAGGAAG